GTAAGAAAACAGTTTGTAAATCTGGTTTCATTGGCGTATTTTTGTAAAGAGGGTTTTGGTCGAGCGTCTGGTTTGGTTTGGTTTGGTTTGGTTTATTTTGTTTTACGGCATATCAACCTCAATGGGTTCTTTAATGTCAGCAAGATTCTTATGATAGGGTCCTAATTATAGAATATGTATTCTTTGTAAGAAATAAGTTTGTAGATCAGGTTTCATTGACGTATTTTTGTAAAGGTTTTTTAAAGGTTTTTGTCAAGCGTCAAATGTATTTCTGATAATATTTTCCTTCCAAAAATTCTTTTTTCTTTTCAAAAATGCATAGCTTGTAATTTTTTTTTTCATAAGTACATTGCTTGTAACAAATTTTCAAAAATTTATCGCTGGTAATAACTATTTGCCCATAGCTGGGACCCTAACAGGTACTCCCACCCTCGGTCGGGGTGAACCTGAGAACATTAGCAGTTAAGAGGTCCTCAAAATCTCCTATTCAGAGCCAGATGTAGTTTCTCATCATACTCAGGAGGCTTCAGTGGAGGAATCTTACCTCTCTGCAGAGGTGCAGTCAGCATGGTCTGAATCCCCAGCCGACAGGGCGTGAGGGAGCGAGAACAGTAAAAGAACAGGAATTAAGAAGACAGAAGATAACGACTGATATTGCATTTAATGTTTTGAAGGTCAAAGTTGACTGGAAACTTAGAAGCTGGAGTTCGACAAGTGAGTGAAGGAACTATTAGCATAGAACTTACGGTTACATCTAGCCATTTCAACTCTAAAATGAAGAGAGCTCACCGTCAATCTAGTACTGCGTTTGAATTCATAAAGTGGGAAAGTACCTGAAGAACAAATTCGGTATTTTACTAAATCCTCCCCGCTTTTAATTTATATTTTTTAACGATAATATCGCAATAATTAAGTAAACTTTCTTTAATTCAGGTAACTTACTATTTTTTTCACTTCTTTATCATGTCACCCCAAGCAAGGCAATGAAGCCACTAAGACGCAAGTGGTTACTGAATGTGAAAGAATAAAAAAAAGAAAAATATTATTAAGGAAAGAGAACAATAAAAGAACAGAAGTTAAGACAGAAGATAACGATTGATACTGCATTTAATTTTTTGAAGATCAATGATGACTAAGAAGCCAGAAAAGAGTTCCACAAGCGAGAAGTACGAGAGAAGAAATTCTTAGCATAGAACTTACGGTTATATTTAAGTATTTCAATAGTAAAATGATGAACCCTGTCAATCTATTACTGCGCTTAAATTCGTAAAGACAAGATGCGAAAGGGGAAAGTTCATCAGAGCAATTATCATGAAAATATTTATAGAAAGGACAAAGGGAGGCTATATTACGGCGGCGGGAAACTGACTGAAGCCGAAGGGACAGGTCAGGACCGATAACATAGCAGATTCTTTTTCGGATTTTATAAAAAAAATCTCTAAATAGGTAGCAGAAGCATCAATCCTCTCGTCACTTCCCTTTTCGGGAAGACGCCCCAGGTATAAAGGTAATGACCGTAGCAAAGGGAGGTATATTGTTTAGGGAGACGCCTATCGGACACTGAAATTAATATTCAATTTTGTTCAAAAAAAAAATGGGCGAGAATTCTTTGAAACGTTATAAAAAAAAATACGCGTAGGAGTAATTTCTGTCTGTGTGTCGTCACCATTCGCTTCTGACGTCACCAAGTGTAGCTGTTTCTCTTGGTTCCCTTGATTTTTGCGTCTGGACAATTGGTGGGTTGAAGTGTTTTTGAATCCGGAATATTCTAACTTTAACCCAGTCTGGCGTATAACAAGAATCACTCGAAATGTGCAGCTCGGACTCCAGAAATCTTGGGTTGTGTGCATGGAAGGGGTAGGGGGATTTCATTTGTTAAAGAGGTTCCTACACCGAAGAAGGTTTCCACCTGTCTGCAACGAAAAGAAAAAAAAACCTTTTAGCAACAACCTTTCTTGCTATCATCTTCCTAACGTATTACATTCGAGATGAAGCTCCACTTCGCTTAACGACTCACCTGTTTGATAACTCTGAACGAACGACCAACTAAACTATTTGAAAATAAAGTGCTCGCTAGGAACCAGTAAATTCCTCCTTTTTCGATTGTAGATGCGAAAGAATCTATGTAAACTCAACATAAAATTTGTTACTACTACATACAAAACAATAAAAGACTTCGTCGATTTTAAACAAAACAATAAGCTAAATCCTGAAGATGGAGTTTATTCCATCGCCCGTAATATTTGCCACAAAATATACACAGGAGAAACCTCATGAAATCTAAATAAAAGATTATATGAACGAAAAAAAGGACATTTTACAAAATAATACATCAAATGTTTTGGCTTCCTACCGTAACGAGACTGACCATAACTTCGACATAAAAATGCTGCTATGATCAAAAGAGAAAATAATTTACTTCGACGTAAATGTCTAGAGAACTGAGGGTCATCCAAGAAGAATCCTTCCAGTAGTGCATAGAAACATAGCAGAGAAGGATGGAACAGTGCTGTAGACGTGACGGGGATTACTTCGAAGTGTAAACCATGTAGTTTGTTGTTTGCAATGGAAATGAATTGATTGTGACATCAGTCCCGTTACTTTTCAGACAGACCTTGTATATAAACAGCAAGCAATTGTATGAAATTGTATGTTTATTGTATGAAATCTTTCTGAAAAGTAATTTGACTTGTATCGCAAACAATTTATTTCAATTCCAAGCAACAAACGACATGGTTTTCCCTTCAAATAAACCCTTGAACAATCAGCAATTCTACAAAGAGATCCTGCAGCATTTTCTTTATTCAGTGCACTAGAAGAGATGAGAGTTGTGGCAGGACAAATTGTGGCTGCTTCACCATAACAATGCACTTGCTCACAACACCCTGAGCATCGGTCAGTTCAAGGCCGAGAAGAACATTGCCGTAATAAAAAGAACCTCTTTATTCAGTTAATCTTGCTCTATGTGACATTTTTCTCTTCCCTAAGCTCAAGTGGATCATTAAGTGGATCCGTTTTGAAGGCGTGGAAGCCAGCAATGGGGCCAAAATGATGGAGCTGAGGAGCATAAAAGAAGAATGATAGAAAAATGCATTAGACACGAGGGTGATTAATTTGAAGGGGAAACCGTGCATGTTGTTTGAAATTGAAATGAATTGTTTTTGACATCAGTCCCGTTACTTTTCAGACAGACCTCGTATTTAAAGAGCAAGCAATTGTATGAAATTGTATGCTTATTGTACGAAATCTGTCTGAAAAGTAATGGGACTAGTATCACAAACAATTTATTTCAATTTCAAACAACAAACTACATAGTTTCCCCTTCAAATAAACATTCGATCAATCAATAATTCTGTGTGTGTGTGTGTGTGTGTGTGTGTGTGTGTGTGTGTGTGCGTGCGTGCGTGCGTGTGTGTGTGTGTGTGTGTGTGTGTGTGTGTGTGTGTGTGTGTGTGTGTGTGTGTGTGTGTGAAAAGTGTATATAAATATAAATAAATATATATATGTATAATTATTTATATATTATATGCGCGGTACTTATTAGAAAGCGCTCAATATCAGAGATAGAGCTAACATATTTGGTTGGATAGATGTGAGTTTAGCGATCGTCAGACAAACTCAGACGATCGCTAAAGCGTGAAACCCAGGGTCACAAACTCACATCTATCCAACTAAATATATATATATATATATATATATATATATATATGAAAAATTTCTCAGAGTTAACCTGTAGAAAAAGACAATATTTATAAATGTAAAAGACAATAGGAAAACTGTAATATTAGCCGAAGCCTTTCGTCCAATGTGGACTTTTCAAGGTAAAAACGAAATTTATTAAAACAAAGTAACTAATAATAACAAAACAAAATGTCCTTAGCAACTGGAAGAATTTCGAAAAAAGTAATTTGACGTAATTTACAGTTGACAATATAAATATAATAGCGTTTTCTAAATTCTTTTCTACATGTATTTCCATGGCAACGGCTCTGATGAGATTTTTTTCTTTGTTGCCCCGGCTACATGAATTTAAGCGTACTACTAGATTGGTATCTAGGTCCCACGCGTTTACTGTTGAAATAACTAAATGAAACCGCATTCAATAGTTACTTTTCTTGCACTTCCCGCCTGTGAAACTCCCTTCCGTATACTTGCTTCATTACAATCTTCAAAAATTTAAACGCAACCTCAATCACCATTTTTTGTCTTCTTGAACCTCGTTCAGCTTTGCTCATTTCCTCCATCTTCCCTTTACTCATTCTTTTCTTCCACTTTTATTTCCTGTGACCCTCTTGCATTTAAATGGAATTATCACCTTGTTTGAGGTGAAATTATTTAAAAAAAAACAGCAAAAAAAAAGGATGACTCAAGTTTGAGATAAACGTATATTTCTCATTAGTAACAGTTATCATTGTACGATTTCAAATACTGATTTTTGAGGCAAGAAGGTATGCATTTTCTACTCGTCACAACAAAATCATTCTGGACCCATTTCTGTTTGGCATTGCTTTTGATAAAATTTGCCCACATATTTTAAACACGTGGAAGACATGATTTACATATAAATTAAATTGTTTTCGTTTGAACTTTAAGAAAGCTTTAAAAAACGGGAAATAAACTGGCCTTGATATTCTTAATACAAATTTTAAAAGTATTTAAATGAGCCTTGTTAAGTCTGGCACAAGGACTTATGTTTCGTGTATCTTTTAAAAATCGATCTCACTGCAAAAAAAAAAGCTAGTGTGAAAACCATTAACTCAACTGGGGGTTATGTAAAGCCAGGAAATAATTTTAGATTGTAAGATTTGGGGTAGAGGGGAGATAATAATGATTTCGGGATACAAATCTTTACTAATTAACCCATAGCTGGGAAGAAGAGATGGATTCAAACATTTCTCAGGGGTATTTGCGCGTAAGTGAATATTGCGAGCCAAAGTGGAACTCGGATCTTCGATTAACAATTCCGAACCATTATCAATTTCACCACCCACCCATCCAAGCTTACAGCACCTAGTATTACCAAACGGTCACCCATCTAAGTACTGACCAGACTCTATGTCGCTTAACTTCGGTGATCGTAAGGGAATAGTGTTTCAACGTGATGTAGCTGTAGGCCTAACAGTGAAAGAAAAAATAATTTTAAAGAATGAGGAAAAGATGAAAACAAAAAGAAAGAAAGAAAGAAAGAAAGAAAGAAAGAAAGAAAGAAAGAAAAGAAAAAAGAAAGAAAGAAAAAATGCAACATTGAAGAAAAAAGTAATTTTGGAAAAGAAAGAAAGAAAGAAAGAAATAAAAAACCAAAAATAATAGAAAGAAAGAAGGAAACAAAAAACAAAGAATAAAGAAACTCACAAACAATAAAAGCAGACAGCATTGTAAGAAAAAGGAAATTTAAAGAGAGAGAGAGAAAGAAACAAACAAACAAACAAAAGAAAACAGAAAGAAAGGAAAAACGAAAAAACAAATAGAAAGAAAGGAAAAACGAAAGAAAGAAAGAAAGAAAGAAAGAAAGAAAGAAAGAAAGAAAGAAAGAAAGAAAGAAAGAAAGAACAAAGAATAAAGAAACACAAGCAATACAAGAAAGGAGACATCATTGAAAGATAAAAGAAATTTAAAGAGAGAGAGAGAAAGATGCAAACAGAAAGAAAGAAAGAAAGAAAGCAAAAGAGAAGCTTAATGTAATGGGCGAGTCACGTTCCCCCTACATGTGCCAATAACGTTACTGTCTGCAGAGAGCAGCTGCGTTCTGCTAGTTATTTACAATCTGCTGATTTGAGATGAAACAACTTTTTCACTATGGACGACACAAGATTTGATGACGTCATACCACTTTGAGATTAGGATGTAAATGATTGGTTGCCTTACAACCTAATTTGATCTCACCTGAATCAATATTATCCGCACTGATCAGCGCACGTCTTTTTACTGTTTTTTTTTTTTTTACAAATTCACTGAAATACTACTTAATACTTACCAACCTTAACTGTGTATGGTACAAGGGTACCTGGAGGAAATTCGCAATTAGAAGACTGTATTGCACCAATCTTCCAGACAGAGGACACTTGTTCGCTGTGCAAGTCAGAAAAAAGGGCTTTTGGAATGAATGCGTATGTAAATACAGTCCCGAATCTTATATAATTATAAAGAAAGTTTTAGTAATCACAAAATACATGCATTCAACAACACGTAAATTGATTTGGTATATATATATATATATATATATATATATATATGAATAAATATACTCTTAAGGTGTGCTATATTTATGGGATAAAGTGCTCAATATCAGAGACAGAGTGTGCGTAAATATAAAAGTCAACACTGAAGTCAACACTGTTCCATGCTCACAAACTCACATCAATCCAACTATATATATATATATATATATATATATATATATATATATATATATATATATATATATATACAAAATTCAAATATATATATTACAGTGTAAAATATATGTGAGTTTATGTGTGTATGTTTCTATGTGCGTACCTCTGATGGCCTCTCCTTGTCGTAGTAGAGACGCTTGCGTGTTCCAATGACTGTGAGATCGACACCCTCATGAGTTCTAAACTTCCTGATAGAGCCACCCTTGGCGGTAAGGTCGAAGACGACGATGCAGACGAAGCGCAGCCAACCCCAAGGTCCCCAAGCAAATAATGACTACAAAAGATCTTAACGGTTGAACCAGCGGATGACGAGGGCTACGCTTGACGGACATGCTCCAGAAGGCGCCATTCAATATTATAACTGTCAGCGGCAATCCGTTGCAGTTTCATAACTGAATTTTGCATGTCTCATTCCATATGCGCCGCAGAGGAATGCCAGGAAATCAAGCGTGTGGGTTACTTTCTGACAAGATGAAATCCACCTTCAACAAATTCCCACCATCGGCACTTTCTTCTAAGCTGATTTTGTTTCACCTCCAACCAAATCTTGCATCTAAACAGCAATAGGTAAATAGATGACGGGGGCAGGTTTTGGGGAAACTGGAAGGTTCTAATCCAGAGACCTGTACTTTAGCAGCAAATTTAGTCATCAACGCAATCATCATAAAAGAAGCGATCAGCAAAGAATTCTTGGATACAAAATAAAACTCACGGCGAAAAGGGGTTACTAATTGAAATCGGTTTTGGTTTGGTCTGTTTTACGGCATATCAACCTCAATGGTTTATTTAATGCCGAAAAATTTTTTATTGCTGGTAATATTTTGTTTTGTCAAAAATCTGTTTTTGGTAATATTTTTCCTTTAAAAATATATTGCTGTTTATATTTTTACTACAAAAATGTATAGTTGGTAATATTTTTTTTACAAAGTATTTCTGGTATTAAAACCTATTTTTTCACTTTCATAGTGTCTTTACCCCAGTTTCGGGGCTAACTATTTACCCATAGCTGGAACCCTAAAAGGTGCTACCAACCCGGGTGAGAGGGTACCTGGGAATACCAGCAATTAAGAGGTAGTTCCAAGTTCCTCACAACCTCCTGATCAAATGCCTTGCTGCTGGACGTAGTTTATCGTCTTACCCAGGACGCGGATGTAGTTTATCGTCATACTCAGGACGGTGTAATTGGGATTTGGTTGAATATCTCAACATTTCCAAAATAAATAAATTCAGATATGGATTTTATATATATATATATATATATATATATATATATATATATATATATATATATATATATATATACGAGTGTACCCATGCCATAAAAAAATGACGGCAATTGTAAGAAAGTTTTAATAGTGATATGAAATGAAACAAAACAGTGTATTTTAATTCAATGAATCGGAAATAAAGAATTCACAACTAAATCACAGGCCAATGAACCGTTTAATTAATCCGTTCCTTTTATATTTTTTTTAGATGTTCAATTGTATCTATGATTCATGAAATACTCTTGGTATTATAGAAATCGCTTTTTATACTATTTACATTGTTCGGACTGTTGTCCTCATCTTTATTGTCATATTCACGTAAACTAAATAAAGGGTTCAGTTCGAAATTCCAACGTATATCACCTGAAGAAGATCAGAGCGTAAAACGGCCGAAACCTCGTGAATATGACAATAAAGATGAGGACAACAGTCCGAACAATGTAAATAGGTAAAACAGTGACAAATATAATAATAGAAATATAGACAGAAGTTAAATCGTTTTTGTTCAGTATCATTTCATGTGAAAATGTTATTATTTTTATATTATTAGTAGTAGTAGTATTAGGTTGGTGCAAAAATAATGACGTAATAATGTCGTTTTTTGACGTATTTTTTAAGGTCAAAAAACGACATTATTACGTCATTATTTTTGCACCAACCTAATAGTAGTAGTAGTAGTAGGAGTAGTGTATCCGTGCCATTCAAAGTGAAGGCAGTTGTTAGGAAGTTTAAATAGTGAGATGAAATGAAACAATAGTCTTGAAACAATGTATTTAGATTCAATAAAGCGGGGATGAAGAATTCACAACTGAAACACAGGCCAATGAACCATTTAATTAAACTGTTCCCTTTAGATTTTTAGACATTCAAATTCAATGGTTATCTATGATTCATAGATTACTCCTGGTATTATATCAATCGCTTTTTGCTCAATAAAGACGACCAAGGAAGACGATCACTTATCAGACAAAGGTCTCACATAAAACGCTTAACCAAATACGCCTGCAATCAAAGAAACGTAAGAGTGAAGGAACTGATTAATTAAACGGTTCATTTTGCTCGGGAAGTAATTTTGTCTAAATGCAGATGTGTATCCGAGGAATATAACGCGAGTGGGTTTTTTTATATATATAATATTTAACTACCCAGTAATCTTAAAGATTTAGGAAAACTTTCTCCATAATTTAATATTCCATTGAATTTTAGATACTTTCACTTTAAATTTACTATAGTTATCACTATTATTTATTAAATTATTATTATTAAAATCCCATATTATTATTATTACTACTACTAATGTACCTGTGCCGTCAAAAATGATGCAGTTGTTAGAAAGATTTGCAATGACACAAAATTCTTGAAACAATGTCTTCAGATTCAATAAAGCGAGGATAAAGAATCCAGAATTAAATTAGATGCCAATGAACCATTTAATTAATCCGTTCCTTTTATATTTTTTGGATTTTCAATGGTATCAATCATTCCTTGATTGCTCCTGGTATTATGAGATAACGATATATATATTTGATATATCAATAACAGTATTGGGGAAATTGTAGGACAAAGTGGAAAAAAGTTTACTTGTGATACGTTTCGTCCTTCAGGATATCATCAGACTAAATTTATGTTGGTAGCACGACAGAGTGATGCTGGGAATTTTAGCATTTTTCTTCTTTTATCTAGCCGAATTCATTTAGAGTCTTTTTCTTTTTCTTTCCATCACATATGTAAGTAGGTACTCCACATTGAGACATTAGAAGACGTAACTGTCTAGAGAGTGCCTTAATCGCAAGGTCATCTACAGTAAATTTGATTTGCGCCCTGGCTCTTATAACATGTCACCATTCCTGGCAGACCGTCTTCGTTGAGCACAAGGGATTTAGCTTGTGTGTGTGTGTGTGTGTGTGTGTGTGTGTGTGTGTGTGTGTGCGCGCGCGCGCTTATGTGCTGCTCAGGTTCCATTTGCCCTGCTCATCAGACCAGAGGTTGGTTGGTTGGTTGGGTTTTTATGGCATATCAACCAATGTAGGTCATTTAATGCCAAATTAAGTATATATATATATATATATATATATATATATATATATATATATATATATATATATAAAATAAAAAAAAGCGTATCCTTACTCTGTCCCGGACATTGAGTTCTACCTGGATTCTATCCTGATGGATTTATTTTTATACAAATATATATGTATGTGTATGTATGTATATATATTTATATATATTAGATATATGATTGCTTATGTATGTGTATATTTACCACTAATATTATATATATATATATATATATATATATATATATATATATATATATATATATTAAATATATAGTACTATTAAACGTATAGCTGGCAACATTATTTTTTCAAAAACGTACAGCTGGCAACATTATTTTTTCAAAACGTATAGCTGGCAACATTATTTTTTCAAAA